CCTCCCAGTTTGGTATCATCCGCAAACTTAATAAGCGTACTTTCTATGCCAATATCTAATATCCAATATCGTTGATGAAGATATTGAACAGAGCCGGTCCCAAAACAGACCCCTGCGGTACCCCACTCGTTATGCCTTTCCAGCAGGATTGGGAACCATTAATAACAACTCTCTGAGTACGGTTATCCAGCCAGCTATGCACCCACCTTATAGTAGCCCCATCTAAATTGTATTTGCCTAGTTTATCGATAAGAATATCATGTGAGACTATATCAAATGCCTTACTAAAGTCCAGGTATACCACATCCACAGCTTCACCCTTATCCACAAGGCTCGTTATCCTATCAAAGAAAGCTATCAGATTGGTTTGACATGATTTGTTCTTCACAAATCCATGCTGGCTGTTCCCTATTACCTTACCACCTTCCAAGTGTTTGCAGATGATTTCCTTAATTGCTTGCTCCATTATCTTCCCTGGCACATAAGTTAAACTAACCGGATGGATGATGCGGGGGAAGGGTGGACAGATGGATGGATGGAGGGGAAGGGTGGACGGTTAGATGGATGGGGGAAATGGATGGATGGGATGGACAGACAGATGGGGGGTGGACGGGGGGAGGGGATGGACGGACAGCTGGGTGGGGGTGAAGAGCACATCTGGCTGGCTGCCAGGAAGGGCTGCCCATGGTGGGTCCCTCAGGCAGTGCCCCACACACTGGTCCCACAGGGACCCTGGTCCAGGACTGAGTGGGTGATGGGAGCCAGCCGCACCCATGGCAGCCCCGCTGCACACTCCAGGGGCCAGTCCCCTCCCCTCGCATGCCCCCCAGCCTGGTTCCCCTCCCCCGCGATCTGACCCATGGGCCCATCCGTTCCAGCAGAGCAGCTAGTGCAGGGAGCCAGGATGCCTGGATTCTACTCCTGAATTTGGCAGGGGGGGCAGGGAGCCAGGACGCCTGGGTTCTATCCACTGGGTTTTTTTCCAGGGGGTGGGGCTGGGAGCTACAGCCTGTTTTGGGATGGTTGGGGGCACACAGAGCTGGTGAGGGGGCCTATGCCCTGGCCCGTGGCTGAGGATCCGGGAGCAGCCGGCTGTGCTGGCTGGTGCAGGGCGGGGTGGGGCTAGACCCAGACCGGTCCAACCGGATGGACGGGGCCCAGGAATAAGGCATGGGGGGGGCAGCGCCTGCCGTGGGGTCCTTCCCCAGCAGAGGGCCCAGCCCCAATCCAGCCAGCGTGGGGTGGGACTCCCTAGGATGGGTCCCCATCCCCTCACTCTGCCCCCTCCTCCTCCCCTCACTCTGCCCGCTGCCCCCGCCCATGCCCTCCCCCATACTGCCCCCTCTGCGTCCTCCCACTCTGCCCCGTCCTGCCCCCTCCCCATACTCCATCCTATCCCCCCACTCTCCCCCTCCACCCATACTGCCCCCTCTGCCTCTTCCTACTCTGCCCCTCCCCCACTCTCTGCCCTCTCCCTGTCTCCACCCCCACTCTGACCCCTCCCCACTCCCCACTCCTCGTCCCCTCCCCCCATGCCAGCGCTGTAGCAGGGAAGTCCCCTTCGCCGCCCCCCCGCCCGGTCCTGGGATTGGCAGCCCGGAGCTGGGGGGAGGGGCCAGTGGCGCGTGTGGGGGGGGGGTTGTTTGTATCCAGAGTCAGTCAAAGGCAAGTGAAGGTGGAGGGACGGACGGAGGGAGGCGCAGGCAGAGCCGGGCACACGGACTGAGCAGGTACGGGAGGGGTGAAGGGCTGGAAAGGGTCTGATGAGGGGTTCGGGGAGGGGATCCGGGAGGGGTCAGATAGGGCTGGAGGGGGGGTCTCGGGAGGGGGGCTGATGTTCGGGCGGGGGCCAGTCTGGGTGTGGGGGGGGTCTCAGGCGGGGGGGTCCCGGGGGAGCAGTGGGATGATGTGGGGCCATGGCTGAGATGGGGGGGATCGGGGCGGTGGGAGGGGCTGAGAAGGGGGGTCGGGGGTTGGTAGGACTTGGCGGGGGGGTTGGGCGAGGGGGGGAAATGTGGGGGGGGGCGAGAGGGGTGATCACTAAAGAGGGGGGCGCAGCTCCGTGTGTCCGTCTCCCCGGCTCTTCCCGTCGCTTCCTCTGAGCAGCGACACGCGAAATGTCAAGCGGAAAAACCCACCATGGCGAAGGGGCCGGACGCCTGGGTTCTCTCCCTCGCTCTGGGAGGAGGGGCTGGTGGGTTAGAGCAGTGGGGGCTGGGAGGAGCCAGGACTCCTGGGTTCTCTCCCCGGCTCTGTGGGGGTCCTATGGGAGGGGGGTCCTGGGGGCCCATCCCAGCGTCCCTAGGGCCCCATCCCAGCGTCCCTAGGGCAGGGCTGTTTCCTCGGGGGTCCTGACAAGGCTGAGGCACTGAGCCTAGCCCTGTGCCCCTCTCCCGTGGGGCTGGGAAGAGAATCATTGGTCACTGCCTGCCAGACACACACACACACCCTTGGCCTTGGCCTCCTCTGAGAACAGGGGCTGGGAGCCAGAACTCCTGGGTTCTATCTCTGGCTCTGGGAGGGGAGGGGAGTGTAGTGGGTAGAGCTCCCCATCTATCTGTCTGTCCAGCCAGCAGACCAGCTCCCAGCCATTCAGAGCCAGCCATCCTTCCCCTCAACTGTCCATCCGTCTGTCCACCTCTGTCCCTCCCCGTGAAGAGATCTGTCGACAAGGGATGCTGGGTCTGGCTCCCCCCAGCGAGCTGCTGGTCTCTTCCCCTCCCCCTGAAGCTGATCCCAGAGCCAGCCCAACCCAGCTACGCCAAGCCCCTCAGGAGCGTGGAGGGAGACCTGCCCCATGGCCAGGAGAGCTAGGCTCAGGGGATTATGGGATGGGGCCCTCCCAGCCCATGGGGCAGCCCATAGGGTAGCCCATAGACAGACTGTGCTGGTCTGCCTGTTTCCCGCGCTCCCCACTCAGGGCCCCAAATGTCCTGGGTCTGGAAACACCCCACACCCTGTGGGTCCCGGGGAGGGCATTAACTCTTGTTCTACCAGCACTGAGGGGGCCAGGGTCCAGGGAATGGACCAGGCACTGAGGGGCTAAGGGGACATTGGCTGCTGGCATCTGGGCAGGGACCCAGCCTGGACAGTCACTGACCCACCCCTACTCCAATGCCCCTTCCTGGCCCCCCACCCTCCTGCCTAACCCCCCAGTTCCTCCACACCCTGCTCCCTGTGACACCCACCCTGGCTCCCCATGATTCTTCCAACTCCCCCATGCGTATAACCCCCCCCCACCTGTCCCTGTTGCCCCATAACTCCCCTCCCAACTCCCCCACACCCTGCCTGGCTGCCAGCCCTACCCCCATTAACGCAACCACCCTCATAACATCCCCAACCCCCATAACCTCCTCCTGCCCCCAACCTTGTGTCCCAGATCCCCAGGATCGGTGCTGTGCCCCTAGCTTTAGAGCAGCCCTTTGCAGGACCCCCTGGGGGGTTCCACTCTCCCTTCAGGGGAGGCCATGCGGGCTCCCTGATGTGCTGGGGCTCCAACCCTCCTGCCACACCCCGTGAGCAGAGCCCGACTCCTGGGAGAGCCGTGACCGACGCGGGATTGGGTTGGTTAGTCACCGGGACACGGCTCAGGAAACCCTTAGGGCAGCAGGGAGACGCGGCGTCGGGTCGGCCCAGGGCCCAGGCACCCCGTTTTATGTATGCGTCTGAGTGTCTGTCTGACACCCTCGTCCCTTCCTGGGTTGGCAGCCCCCACTCACCCCCAGCTCCCACCTTCCCAGCCCTTCCTGCTTCAGCTGGGGGGGTCTTTGCTCAGCTCCCCTGCTGAGCTGGGGGAGAAGTAATCTAGGCATCACTGGAGCTGGCATCAGGTCGCTGGGCACCTTGTTCACCTGGGTCGGTTCCAGCCAGTTCCTTAATGACTCCTCGTTCCCCGAGGCAGGGAGGTGTCACCCATGCGGGTGCCTTTTAGCCTCTCCTGAAAGCGCACACCGCCCTTCCCCCACGCTGGGCAACAGGGTGACCAGACTCCGATAAAATCGGGACTGTCCCGCTATTTAACTTTCTGTCCTGTGTCCCGACCGATGTACGATCAGGATGTCATTTGTCCCGATGTTGTAGGGCTGCCAGTTGCTCCCCCCTCCCCTACTTACAGTGGAAGCTGTGAGCCTGTGGCTCCCACCCTTGCCCCATGTGTCCCAATATTTTACTCTTGCAAGCTAGTTACCCTACTGGGCAACCATGCTGCATATGGGGAAACTGAGGCACACAGTGGGGGTCATCAAAATACCAGCAAGAATCCCCCCTTCGTCGCAGCTCTTCCCCCTTGGAGAGCGAATGGCGCTCGCCAGAACCAGCAGCCTGGGGGGATGGGGGCGTTCACACCCACACGTGCAATCTAGAGAGGCTGCAGCCTGGGCCCCAGCTCCGCCCATGCCATCCCGCTGGGCACCTCCTCGTGGCAGGTTCAAATCCCTCGGCCATGTGGCGCCCCAGCTCAGTGCCCGTTCACGTCCTCCCTTAGGTCAGGTCCAGTTGATCGTACCTTGCTTCCCCCTGACTTCCCCCCATCCCTTGGCCTGGTACCCGGCCCTGCCCCCCAGAGCACCCCACCTCTCTCCCCTCACTGGGCTGCAGGGACTAATCCCTTCCTGCCTGGGGGGCTGGGGGGCTGGATCCCCGCTCCCACCGGCACTGCGAGCTGGAGGGGCAGGGAGGCGACAGAGGCAGAGCTACTTTCCCAGCAAGAGGCGCTGTGGGGCATGGGGCAGGATGGGTAGGAGAGGGTCAGGTCCCAACTTGCTCATTCAGCCAGCACCTCCTGATGGCGGGGGGGGGGAGGTCGAATTTGCCCCCCAATGGAGCCTGATGCCAAACTTCCTGGGACACCAATGTGCGGGAGGGTCTTCCTAAGCCTGATCCCCAGCCCCGATCCTGGGAAAAGCCCCCTCTCCCCTGAGCCCTGAGGCCCTGCCCAGAGCAGAGTAGGGGGCTAGGCTAGGCAGGGGGCTCCTGGGATTGGGGGGGGGAGGTCTCTGAGCACCTCAGGCCACAGGGATCTGCTGGGTATTTTGGGGGGGATCTGTGTGTCAGGGGAGTGACTCTGGGGGGGTCTGTGTGTCGGGGGTGGCTCTAGGGAGGGGTCTGTGTGTTTCGGGTGGGGGAAGGGCAGTGCTGGCAGGTGTCTCTATGTCCTGCTCTGACACCCCCCCCACACACACCCCGCTCTTCCTTCTCCCCCAGGCGCAGCCATGACTGAGCTCCACGAGGTGCAGATCACGGAGGAGAAGCCCCTGCTGCTGCCGCCCTCGCAACCCGTCCCGGGCAAGGTCAGAGGGCAAAGGGCACGCTGGGGGGGAGGGGTGCTCAGTGCTGTATTCCTGCGCCCTGCCGTCTGACCACTAGATCCCACTCCCCTCCCAGAGCTGGGGAGAGAACCCAGGAGTCCTGGCTCCTGTTGTCTGAGCTGCACTGACCCCTCCCTGGCTTGAACCCTGTCTCGCGGTGTCCTGGGCGTGGGGGAGCAGGACATTAGCAGTGGACCCCCAGGTACCCCAGCCTTGCTTCCCCCACCTTCCGCTGGGGAGTCAGGATTGGAACCCGGGGGTGCCCAGCTCTATGGGGAGCCCACGGCAAGGTATGGGCCATGGAATGGGGGTGGGGGCTGTTTGGGGACCGATATCTCGGGCGTCTCCTGGGCGGTGGCTGCCCAGCCTGCGTTGTTGGAAAGCGGGGAGCCCCCTCTGCGCAACGGCATCAGCTGTTTCCACCTGGGACCCGTGCCAGCCGTGGGGCAGCCCCCCCCACGCCTCACAGCCCCCATCTCTCTCTCTTTGGCAGAAGCATTCGGTGGAGACGCCCTATGGACTCGTGGCCTTCACCGTCCATGGCACCCCGAAGCCCAAGCGCCCGGCCATCCTGACCTACCACGATGTGGGGCTCAACCGTAAGTGGGGCTGGCGGGAGGGACAGGATCCCTGCAGGGAGCTCCCGCCACAGCCAGTGCCCTGACCCTGCTGCCCCAACAGCCAGCAAAACCCTGCTGGGAGCTCCCCCCTGCCCTGCCCCCCCAGTGCCTCCTGCTGGGAGCTCCCATCCCACTCCCCCCCCCCCCCCAGCGCCCCCTGCTGGGAGCTCCCATCCCACTCCCCCCAGTGCCCCCTGCTGGGAGCTCCCCCCACAGCCAGCGCCCCCATCGCGTCCCTTGCTGCTCTGACACTATTCCGGCCTCCCCAGACCAGTCCTGCTTCGAGCCGCTCTTCCGTTTCGAGGACATGCAGGAGATCGTCAAGAACTTCGTGGTGGTTCACGTGGATGCCCCTGGCATGGAGGAAGGCGCCCCACTGTTTCCCTTGGGGTGAGACCCCCTGCCTCCCACCCCTTCCTCTCCCTACCCCCGCTGTTCCCCTTGGGGTGAGACCCCCGTGCCCCCCATCCCCACTGTTCCCCTTGGGGTGAGACCCCCTGCTCCCCACCCTGCTCTCCCCACTCCTGCTGTTCCCCTTGGGGTGAGACCCCCTGCCCCCATCCCTTCCTCTCCCCACTCCCGCTGTTCCCCTTGGGGTGAGACCCCCTGCTCCCCACCCTGCTCTCCTCACTCTCGCTGTTCCCCTTGGGGTGGGACCCCCTTCCCCCATCCCTTCTTCTTCCCACTCCCGCTGTTCCCCTTGGGGTGAGACCCCCTGCTCCCCACCCTGCTCTCCCCACTCCCAGTGTTACTTTTGGGAAGAGACACCCCCGCACCCTACCCCTCTTTGCTCCCCCCCCCTCCCCTTGGCTGATGTGCCCTCCTCCCGCAGGTACCAGTACCCATCGCTGGACCAGCTGGCCGACATGATCCCCTGCATCTTGCAGTACCTGAAGTGAGTGGGGGGGGCAGGAACAGACAAACACAGCATGCACCCCTCCCCCGCCTCCCCTTTCTGCCACTGTGGGGCTGGCTGGGGGGGAATTGGCTCCCAGAGCTCAGGTGCAGGGGGGGGACTCTGTCTCGGGGTCAGGGGGGGTCTGTGCGGTGCCTGGCCAGACCCCAATCTCTGGTCTGTTCAGTTAATTGAGATGGAACAAAGAGCCAAAGGTGCGAACAGCCCCTGGGACTGCCCGGCCTCGCACCATGTGAACCAGGCTCCGTCGGTTTGGGTCAGCCGGGGTCCAGCTGGAGGCACCCGCGTTCCAGCTGCGTCTGGGTGTCTGCCCGTTCCCAGCTCCCACCTCCCCAGTCCTTCCGTCTCCAGCCAGCGTCTTTGCTGAGAGGCAGGGGACCCATCACCTCCAGGGTGGCCATGTCCTGGAGACTGGGTTTGCCGTTGTCTTTGCGACTTTTCCTGTCCCGTTCAGTCTGCTCAGACAGCAGGCGACGCCCCCACCTGTGTCTCTGAGGCCACATCTACACTACAGCCAGTGTCCACAGTGTCGCTCCGGGGCGTGACTATTCCAGCGTGAGCGTCCGTGTGCACAGCGTTTCTGCCGCCCGCGGGGCTGGGTATTCACACCGATGGGAGAGAGCGGCCTTTGCCTGACCTGAGAGCAAACGTGACTCCTTTTCACCCCGCTGGGTAGCCAGGTGTCACGGACTCACAGGCCTGGTGCTCCCGGCTCCGTACGACCCCTGGGAGAAACCCCCCTTCTGCGAGACAGCCCCCGCGGGGGAAGGTCGCTCTCTCTCGCTGGGGATAGGCGTTCTGGTCCCGCTGCCTCCCGAGACTGCACCTCTGTGCCTCCAGCACGCCTGGCTCTGCCATGGGCCCCTCAGGGAGTCCCCTCGCTCTGGCCCCCCAGGGAGCAAAGCCCCCCCCCATCTCTAGTCTGCAGTGACTCAGCCAGCGTAAAACAGGAGGTTTATTGAGCTTCTGAACCCAGCCCTGGGGCCTAGTAATCCTCAGCACAGCACATCTAGGTCTCTCCCGCATCCAGCCGCCTCCTCCTTCCAGCCAGTCACCCAATAGCATCTCCCGCACAGCTCCTCCCCTGTCCTTTGTCTTCGGTCCCAGGTAAACAGGTCACTGGGGCCCTCTCTCTTCCGTCCTTTGTTCCCCCTGCTTGGAACTGGCTGGTCAGGTCACCGGGCCCTTCTCTCCTCAGCCCTTTGTCCTCCCACTGGCCAGAACCGGCTGCCTTTCAAGCTAGGCTGGGCCTTTCAGTCGCTAGGATCCCCCATCTCCAGGCTGATGTCAGTGTCCCAGTTGCTAGGCAAGGTCACACCTGATCCTCTGTAACAACAAACCCCTTCCCCCTACCGTGTTACACACACAGCACACAGGGAAACTGAGGCATGCACACCACTCCTGCAAAACACCAAGAAAATCCCCTGCTTCGTCACACTATGCAACGTGTCGGGGAAACCGAGGCATGCACAGGCCTCATAAAAATACTACAGAAAATTCCCACTTTGTCACAGACTCATTTGCAGCCTCACTGCTGGCAAAACCCAGGCCCAGCCCACGGCCTGATCGGCCGTGCTGAGACCTGGCAAACTCAGAGCAGCATTGGGCTGTTCGGGGCATTGCGTTCAGCGGCCTGGCTGGTCCCAGGCTCTCATTCGTGCTGCAGGAGAGCCAGCCTGAGCGAGAGGAAAGAGACGGAATCTGGCCCCACGTTCCCCAGTTCAGCCGCATCCGACCTCCCGGCTTTGGGGCGTTGGTTTCCGGCCCCACACTGCCCTCGTGCACCAGGCTTGATCCCTGGGTGACATCACGCAGCCAAGGCCTGCGTCCATCTGTCGCCTGTTCCAGGTCACCATGACATCCACCAACTGATGCTCCCTGTTACCGCGGGGGGGTGAATTCATGGGGCTGGTGACCAGATAAGTCCCAGATTTCATGGTCCATGGGAGCTAGGAACAACTCGTCTCCCTCACCCCCCAAACACATGGTTTATTAACCCCCTCCCCCTCCTCCCACAGATTCACCAGCATCATTGGCATTGGGGTGGGAGCCGGCGCCTACATCCTCGCCCGCTACAGTGTGAGTGACGCAGGCCCAGGGGAGCTGCGGGTTGAGAGTGAGGGGCACCAACAGAGTTTGGGGGGGAAGGGCTGGGCTATCAGGACTGGGGGGAGCACAGGACTGGGATAGCAGGGGGCTGCGGTTTGGGAGTGAGGGGCACCAGCAGAGCTGCGGGGGGGAAGGGCTGGGCTATCAGGGCTGCAGGTCAGAAGTGAGGGGCACCGGCAGGGCTGGGGGGAGCACAGGGCTGGCAAGGGATGGGCTAGCAGGGTGCAATGGGGGCTGGTTTCACCCTTAGTTCTCTTCCCCTCCCCCCAGCTCTCTCACCCTGACACCGTGGAGGGCTTGGTTCTGATCAACATCGACCCCAATGCCAAGGGCTGGATGGACTGGGCAGCTCACAAGGTAGGGGATTTGGGGGTCCCTTCCCCTGGCTCTCCTGTACGGGGGTGGTTGTGCCGGGGCGGGGTACAGGTCTGGGGGAGCAAACAGAGACCGTGGACAGCTGGAGAGATCAGAGGGAACTTTCTTCTGGCCTAGGGTCAGCTCCTGGCGTTCTCCCCCCTCTCCCCCCCGTCACCTCACGTCTCTCTCACCCCCCTCGGTGCTGCCCCCCCATCCCCAGTGCCCCCTCTCACCTTCTGCTTTCCTCCCCCAGCTGAGCGGCCTGACCTCGTCCATCCCTGAGATGATCCTGGCCCATCTCTTCAGCCAGGTGAGGGGGGGAAATCTGCATGTCGCCCCCGGGGGCTGCGGATGGGCCCCACTCCTGGCGCTCCCAAGGGCTAGACCCAGGGGTCTTCCCCGGGCAGAGGGAGGTAGCCTGGGGAGGGGGGCAGTGAAGAGGTTAGACGGGCAGGGCTCTGGGGGGAAGGATGGGGGGAGCAGCAGGACCGGCGGGGGGGCAGTAATATCTACCCCCCCCCAGGAGGAGCTGTCCAGCTGCATGGAGCTGTGGGGGCAGGGTTATGGGGGGAGGGCAGGGGGAGCAGGACCGGCAGGGGGCTGTAACTGGAGAGTAATGCCCTCTTCCCCCCCGCCCCCAGGAGGAGCTGTCCGGCTGCACGGAGCTGGTCCAGCAGTACAGGGAGGCGCTGGTCGGAGCCCCGAACCTCAGCAACATTCAGCTCTACTGGAGCAGCTACAACACGTGTGTTGGGGGCTCATCTGTGGGGCTGGGCTGGAGGCAGGGTGGGTATGGGGGGGCTTGGCCGTGGGGTGGGGCTGGAGGTAGCTGGAGTTGGGGGGGGGTCAGCTGTGGGGCTGGATGGCGCTGGGTGGCGGCAGGGGGTGCTGGGTGGGGGCGGGGGGGCTGGAGGGCGCTGGGGGGGGTGCTGGGAGGGCAGGGGGGCGTGGAGGGCGCTGGGGGGGGCAGGGGGGGCGGGGGGGGCGTCGTATCATGGCTGCTATGACTGAGGCTGGAGTTACTGTAAAGGCTCATGGAACAGAGGTGACCTGGGGGCCCGGGGCGGGGAAGTTTGCTGCCAATTCCGCCCCCCTGTGCTGAGACCAGAGGGAGTTGGGGGGGGGTTCAGGGCTGTGTTGGGAGACGTGGGGGATGCAGGGCAGTTCTCAGCCCCCCATTTCCTCCCGCCCCCCCCAGCCGCCGGGACCTGAACTTCGAACGCGGAGGAGACGTCACCCTGAAGTAAGTGAGCCCGGCACCCCCGGGTATCCCCCAAACACCCCACAGCCCCCCAGGACACCCCTGCTCATGGCCCCCCATAAATGCCCTAACACCTCTCAGCCCCCCACAAGCACACAGGGACCCCCTTTTTCCCCCCTGGGTACCCCACAAACACCCCACAGCAGCCCCATACTCCTGCCCTCCCAAGTATCCCTCAGCCCCCCCTGGTTAGGGGCGGGGCCTGTCCCCAGAACCCCCCAGGAATGGGGGGGGACACCCAGCTGACCCCTAACCCCCTCCACCCCTGTGCTCTGCTCTGCCCAGCTTCCCCACCCTGGACCACCAGAGCAGCTGCTAGGGGAGGGAGGGGCATTCTGACCACCCCTTTTCCATCTCTCTGTCCCCACAGGTGCCCCGTGATGCTGGTGGTGGGAGACCAGGCCCCCCATGAAGATGCCGTGGTGAGTAACAGAACAAACCACACAATGCACAACTACACAACGTAGCGCACAGCCCTGCAGCTACACAACCCTCCGCAGCTACACAACATAGCGCACATCCCTGCAGTTACACAACATAGTGCACAGCCCTGCAGCGCACCCTGCTACACACACACACGCAGCTACGCAACCCCCCACAGCTGTACAACATAGACAGCACATAGACCCTCAGCTACACAACATAGCGCACAGCCCCACAGCGCACCCTGCTACACACACACCTGCAGCTACGCAACGTAGACAGCACATAGACCTGCAGCTACACAACCCCCTGCAGCTACACAACATAGACAGCGTGCAGCCCCACAGCGCACCCTGCTATACAACCCGAGCACACCACACAATGGGACACACACCCAGAGCCAGGCTCATTCCCGCCAGCAGTGGGCGTCGGGGAAGGGCCAGACAGACAGTGCAGGATTCATTCCCTCCTGCTGGGGACGGACAGACACACACTCTGTGCTGGGCTCATCACACCCAGCTGGGGGCAGCAGGGACATGGACATGCATTCCCTCCCGCAGGGCTGGATGGAGAGACAGACGGACACACACACTTCCTCTCTCTGTTTAGAACAGGCAGACGGACACACACACTCCCTCTCTCTGTTTAGAACAGGCAGACGCTCCGCGTTTCTGGTCCCCGGCTGGTTTGGGGCTGATCCCTGCTAAAGGGGGGACGTCACCTGCCCTCTGGGCTGCCCTGGTGGAAACCGGCCGGATTCCCTGATTTCCTGCTCGGGGCACTGGCCAGCGCCGTGAAACTGACCAGGGTTGTGTCGGTTTCCCTCGGGGGCTCCCAGGCCCTGTGCTGGCTCCCTACAGCCCCTGAGAGGAGCCCCCGTGGGTGCATCAGTCCCCTGCAAGGGTCGCACTCGCACTCCGGGGCCAGGGCCTCCCAGGACCGTGCCTCTGAGCCTCCAGCCCGCCTGACTCTGCCATGGGCCCCTCGGGGAGTCCACCCCGGTCTGGTCCCTGGCCTGCGGTGACTCAGCCAGTGTGAACGTCTGAACCCAGCCCGGGATGTTCTCAGGGCCCTCAGGCCAGCTGGGTCTGTCCCTGTCCCCATGGGCTCTGGCAGCTCCTTGTCCCCCGTCCAACCGAGCCCCCTATATCCCCTCCCCCAACAGCTCCTCCTCCGCCCTTTGTCTTAGGGCAAACAGCTCACAAAACTGGATGGCTCCAGGTTCGGATGGGCCCTCTGGCAGCTGTTGCTAGGTTACAAAGAGTCCCAGCCCTGGGCTGGAATCCAGGCTGCTAGGCAGGGTCATACCTGGACCTCTGCAACAGTAAACACCCTCTCCTACCCCCTGCTTAGACATGCGGCACCAGGGGAAACTGAGGCCCACACAGAGTCACAGGCCAGGCCGGGGGCTCCAGGCCTTACACACACACCAGGCAAAGCATGGTTGACGTCTGACTCCCAGGGGCACAACGAGCTCTGGGCCTTGGGATGTCGTCAGGCTGTGGGGGTGTTTCAGGGTCCAGGTGTCTCTGTGCTCTGCTCCCCTCACACTGTTTTCTGTCCCCTCCCCCCCCCAAACCAGGTGGAGTGTAATTCCAAACTGGATCCCACCCAGACCTCCTTCCTCAAGGTGAGTGATGTCCCCTGCCCCCACCCCATCCCGACTCGCAGCCCCTGCTAGCCCAGGCCTGGGCTCCCCTCTACCCAGCTCTCCCAGTGCCCCTAGCTCCTGACCCACAGCCCCCTGCTAGCCCAGGCCTGGGCCCCTCCAGTAGTTGAGTTTTGGGTTTGTTTTCCAGATGGCAGATTCCGGGGGGCAGCCCCAGCTGACACAGGTGAGAGCTGCCTTCCCAATGGGGATGGAGGGCGCAGGGCAGCGTGAGGGGGAGGGTGTCTCTGGGGCAGTAGTTGGGGGGTGCAGGACAGCATGGGGGGAGGGTCCTGAGGGGGGGGAGGCACTGGAAGGACATAATGGGGACTGGTCTGGCGGGTACAGGCAGGATCTCTAGGGGGACAGTTGTGGGGCACAGTCTGGCTATGTAAGGGATGTAGCAAGGGTTGGGGGTAGCCAGGAGGGAGAGTTGTGAGGTGGGGTGCACAGCCAGGGTATATAGGGGGCGGGTGGCAATAGGGGAGGGTCTGGGGGTAGCCCAGCTGTGGGGCACGGGTTCTAATCTCCATCTTGTCCCTATCTCTCAGCCTGGGAAGCTGACCGAGGCATTCAAGTATTTCGTCCAGGGCATGGGATACAGTGAGTAGCCGCCGTGGGGTGAGCGGGGAGGGGTGTCCCAATCTCCCAGCCCTGCCCCTCCCTCAGCCTCCCCCCCGTGCATTGGGTCCTTGGCCCATCCCCAGCCCCGAGTCGCTGCCCCACTGCCAGGCCAGTCCCTGAAGCGTCTGTCTCTCTTTCTCAGTCCCCTACATCCTGGACAGGAAACTGAGTATGGGGTCAGGTACCTTCTCTGCTGTTGCCCCCATGCACCCCCAGACCCCCAGACATGGCTGCCCCACCCAACACCCTGCACTGGCTCCCTGCCCCCCACACCCCAGTGTCCTGCACTGCCTCCCATGCACCCCACATGCCTCACATTTGCTCCCCCCCTTCACCACCCCCCATCCACTCCCTGTACAGGTGTAGGGGGCATTGTACAGTTTGTGTGGGGAGCTCCCTGCCCCCCTGCATGGCCTGGCCATGCCCCGCCCCCACCCCTCACGCCACAGCCTGTTGTGGGGCACACCTGTACAAATGGGGGCCTATTGCTGGGATGGGGTGTAGGGGTGGGCGGGGTCTGTTGCTGGTGGGCGGAGGGGTGGGCAGGGCAGAACAGAGGGGCGTAGCCAGTCTGACTCCTCCCCTCTCTGTCTCCCTGCAGTGGCCTCCTCCTGCATGACGCGCCTGTCGCGCTCCCGCACCGCCTCGCTGTCCAGCGCAGCCTCAGGGGACGGGAGCCAGTCCCGCTCCCGCACCCTGTCCCAGAACAGCGAGTCGGGGAGCCCCCAGCAGCCGCCGCGGCCGGCCCCGGGGAGCGGAGCCCACACCATGGAGGTCTCCTGCTGAGCAGAGGAGGGGGAGGGGATGGAGACGCCTCCCGCCTCTGACCGGGACTTCCTGCTATCCCACAATGCACTCCGGCCCCAGGGGCCACGCGACGCTCACCCCCTAACGGTACTAAACCGGGGAGGCCCCGATCTCAGAAACAACAGCACAAGCAGCGTTAACCCTTTAAAAACAAAATAATCAACACCCCCTGGGCCCCGCCCCTTTCCCTTTGGCTCCTCCCCCTCCTTAGCCCCACGCCTTCCCTCGCCCATCACCTTGGCTCCTCCCCCCTCCTCAGCCTGTCTGGATCTTTGGGGGGAGGGTGTTTTGCAAGTGGAAGGGAAGAGGTTCTGGGGGGGGGCTGTGTGTTCCCCACACCCCCTTTGCCTGTCATAGCCCTGACTTCTGTCCGTCTGTCCCAGGGCAGTCCTGTTCCTGCCCCCTTGGTGTCCATCTGTCTGTCATGAACATCCCCCTCCTGTGAGCCCTCCCCCCTCCGTCCATCTGTCTGTCCAGAGACAGCTGTTCCGTCCAGCCATCCCAAGAGTCACCCACCACCCCTCTATATACGTGTCTGTCCTGGACACCCCTCTTCTGGGAATCTCTCTCCCCACCCCCCACCCCATGTCTCTGTCCTGAGTGCCCCCTGCCCACATCTGTCCTGATGTGTGTGGGGAGTTGGGGGTCACACACACACATCTCTATCCTTTCCCAGGATGCATTGCAAAGCCATTTGCCATCCCCCAGCCTGGGTTCTCGTTGGGAGGTTGGGAGGCCCGTGTGTCTGCGTTTGGCTCCCTTCCCGGTTATTCCCCAAGGACGTTGGGTGTTCAGGGTGTCTCCCCCAGGGGGCGCAGGTGCGAGGGGGCGGGGCACTGTGCACTAACCTGCGTAGATATTTAGCGGCGTGTGGCGTGCGTGCAGGAGCCGTGCTGGCTGGAGCGTGGCTGAGGCAGAGAATTGCTCGGCTGGGGGGGGTGGTACGAGAAGGGGGCCTGCAGGAATGTGATACTCAACTGGCTTCCGACTGTGCCAACTGTTCCAACAGTTGCAGGCCCCAACTGTAGCAGGTTCTGACTGTTGGGTTCTGGCTGTAAAAGGGCCTGGTTGTACCAGCCTCTGGCTGTAACAGCTTTAGCCTGGGGTAGGTTCCAACAATTGCACCAGGCTCTGACTGTTGGTCCTAGTAATGGACTCTGTATGGACTCTGAGTGTAGCAGCTGTGTATGTAACCAGCTCTGGCTGTACTGGATTTGTAATGGGCACTGTAAGTAGAGGGCTCCGGGTGTAATGGACTCATGATGGTGTAGAGTTACAGCTATAAAGGCTCTGCCTGTATTGGGTACTATAAGGCTAGGCTCTGACTGTGACAGATTGAGTGTAGCGACCGCTGCCTGTGCTGGCTGTGTAACAGGTCCTGTTTGAACTGGGTTCCAACGGTAACAAGCTGTGAATGTAACTGGGTCTGACTGTAACAGCTCTGTGCGTACCAGGCTCTAACTGTGCTACCCATGTACCAGTTTCTGGCTCTGACTGTACCAGCAACGTACCAGGCTCCAACTGAACCAACACTGTGTGCTGCGCTCTGGCTCCGCCGGGCTCCAGCTGTACTGCTAATGTACCAGGCTCTTGTGTCCGACTGTACTGCTGATGTATTCGACTCTGTCTGGCTGTAATAGCTGTATATCCACGGGGCTGGGGCTGTACCAGAGCGACAGCCAATCCCAGCCTTAACAATAAAATCTGTAGAGGAATCTGCCCCGCACCTGTCTGTGACTGGCCGTCTGTGATATAAGGGGACAGGGAGGTGGGGCTCCATGGGGCACAGCCGGATGAAGGAGCGGGCCAGGATTGGTGTTGCCCAGAGCAGGCTCAGGTGAGGATAAGAGGGGAAATAAGCCCAGTAGGGGCCCAGGACCCCATAGGGGCCTGATCCTAGACATTACAAGTGAGGAAAGTCCCATCATGTGCCCTCACAGCGCAGCCCCCCTCCCCGCTGAGCCCCTCACTCTGTCCCCCAACAGCACACTGCCCCGTGCTGAGCCCCTTGCTTTCCCCCACAGCATGACCCCCCCACACACACTGAGCCCCTCACTCTGTCTCCTGCAGCACAGTGCCCCCTAGCCGCATACTGGGGCATTGGCAGGCAGGGGAGAGCGCCCCCTGCTGATTTCCCCCTGCCCTACTCCCTAGCACCGCACAGGGGTATTGGCACCAGCACCGATTGCCAGGGAAAGAGTCCCTGCCCCCATGTAGCTGGAGCCCTGGAAGCCAGGCGAGCACAGTGTTACACATGCCTGGCTCGCCCATTCTCCCCTCCAAGCATTGCTGAACCTGGTGCGAAGGGCCCGGCAGCGCATGAAACATGAGGCAGCTGGGGTCAGTCCACCATGCTTTGAGTTACACGCCAAGTGGCACCAACCTTGCTGGATTATTCCCAGGGCCCCATACTGCTCTTCCCAGGTGACCTAAAGCGGAGATTAATTTTAGTGCACTGTCCCTCAGTTTCCCCACATGGCCTGACCAGGAACAGCACCCTTGGGCTGGCAGCCACGGAGGCTAGGATTTTCAGAGGCCGTTGGGCTTTAGGTGATTGACGCCATCAGCTCCTTGGCGCGTGGCTGCAGGTAGCCTTGGGACGCAACATACTAACTAACACTCAGTGTCCTCTCGGCTTGTCCAGCCTTTTTTCCTCAGTGGATTGGAGTACTTTGTGCTCAGTGTCACCCCCATGTGGGCAGAAGGGGAATTACAGCTCTGACAGCCTATTAAAGAGCTTCCATTCTAACCCACCAGCATACACAAGAACTAGGAGTCACCCAATGAAATTAATAGGCAGCAGGTTTCAAAAAACAAGAGAGTAATTATTCACACGCCTCATACGCAACCTGTGGAACTCATTGCCAGGGGATGTCGTGAAGGCCTAAATATATCTCCATGAACTTACCTATCAATGACTATTGGTCACGGTGGTCAGGGATGCAACCCCGTGCTGTCGGTGTCCCTAACCCTCTGCCTGCCAGTAGCTGGGACTGGGTGACAGGCGATGGATCACTCAATAACTGCCCTGTTCTGTTCATTCCTTCTGAAGCACCTGTCACTGGCGCTGTCAGAAGACAAGATACTGGGCTAGATGGCCCATTGGTTTGACCCAGTGTGACCCTTCTTATGTCCTTATCCCCAGCTCTGGCCTGGGAAGGGAGTGGGGTCTAGTGGTAAGAGCGAGGGGGTGAGAGGTCTGTGAGCCAGCACTCCTGGGTTATGTTCTTAACAAGTGTCATGGGAGAGCTTCATTGAAAGCCAGTGGCCCGCTGGGTGTCACCACCATTGTTTGCTGTGTGTACAGCTCCCATGTGAGCAGACTGCACAGCTCAGCCCGGCTGGCCGACCAGCCCAGTAAAAGCGGGGTCCTTGCTGCCCTTGAGGGGCTTCCACTGGGCACTGATTTGCATACTTGGGCCAATACTAATGAGGTGCTGGTGGGCATTGAACAAGAAGTGGAGCCCGGTGCGGGTGGGGGTGGGAGTGGGGGAGATGCTGGTCACAGGGAAAGGACAAAGGCCAAGTCTGGGCCAAGAGCTTACCAGCACGTTTGCTCCACTGGGGGCTGGAGCAGATACAGAACTGTGGGCAGGTAACGAGTCACCCTGCAATTAGCGAAATGACTAACTGGTCCCTGGCTCAAAGAGCTGGGGGTATCCAGCAGTCACATGGTAAATCAGTAACAAAACCGAGCACACTCTAACGGGAGAGCTGGCTGCTCTACATAGCCCTCCCCATGCCATGCAGCATCCACGTCTCTGCTGGGGCCAGGCCACTGTTGGTCTGAGGGGTTACTTCTGTCCCCCCCCAAAGTCCAGCCTACAATCCGTGCACCTCTCAGGTTTGCAGAAGTCCGGAACTTGCTGCTGCCAGCCAAGCTCTCACTGGCTGGGGACTGGGCACTGAACGGGGTGGGGTGGGGGGGTATTAGTGCCACATGGATTTCACTGCTGCTACGGCCTCGGGCTGCCTGCAACGTGCCAAAGGCCCAGTGCACGGGGAGAACTCCCAGCTGGCGTATTCCAGGAAGGGTGAGCATGTTATCGGTGGGCTCTTATCTCAGACGCTTTCTATAGCTGAGCGGGCGCCCAGGTCAGTATTGCTTGGCTGGCACAACACTGGGCTGGTTTGTGCTCCCAAGTATGCAGCGTGAAGCTGCCACGCTGGCACCAGCAATGCCGTCTCAGTTGCACTGGGCAGAGAGCCGGACGGGGCGACGCCAGGGAGGGCTCACGCTCTCTGAGTCCCAGCTCTGTAAGCAACTCTGCCCTGGGCTCAGGGAAGGGCCGTGTCTCCTGGCTAGTTAGTGCCCAGCTGGCAACAGGCACCTGCTAGGCGGTGGGGGGGGGGAGGGGCACTGGCACCCAGGCAGTCATAAGCAAAGCTCCTTCGAGAGACCGTCCCCCTGAGTGCAGACACACAACTCAGGGGGTGCAGGTGCCACTAATAACTGGCGATGTACAGCAGCTTCCCCCAGCCAAGCTAAGCCCAGCTTCACTCTTCCCAGTGCCCAAAACTCTGCACCATTACTCAGATTTGGGGTGCCTCACGGGGGTTATGGGGCTGGGTTAGGGACCCCAATTTAGGGTCTCTTGACCAAGGGATCCCCAAGCTATAAAGGCCCCAGCTTTTCTCCAAGTTGAGGGATTTTACCCGGGGGTTTTGCCCAGACCTGGGGAGCAAACCACGGCGCTGAGCCTGGCCCAGGGGGCTCCATTGATGGACATGGCACCCACTGCCCCTTTGGGGGAGAGCAGTGAAAGCGAGTGGCAAGAGAGTTACGCTATCCCTAATGCCCTAATGCTCACGTGCCTTCACCAAGCAGGGGCAAGAGCATTATCCCCGTTACAGGTTGGGAAACTGAGGCAGGGAGCAGGGCAGCGATTTGCCCAAAGTGAGGATGGGGGAGGGTCTCCCAGGGACATAGTAGCACATCCCCCAGCGCCACTCACCCTGCCTTCCGTCTAGTAGGGCGCAGTTTATTTCTATAGCCATGTAACTTAGCCCATGTGCCTCCCATGCAGTCTAGACACGCAGCAACCAGGAGGCCTGACTCCCAGCCCCCCAGCTCTACTCCCCTGCTAGAGCAGAACCCAGGAGTCCTGGCTCCCAAACTGCCCCTGCTCTAACCCACTAGCCTCCAGCCCCCTCCCCGAGCCAGGGAGAGAACCCAGGAATCCTGATGCCCAACGATCACTCAGAGACAAGGTTCGTGACATAGACCTGCTTCATTCAGTGTCTCCAACAACTTCTGTATCATGTGACATGAGCCTCTGGAAGGTACCGTTCCCCACGGACCCCACTCAGACAGAGCTGGCTACCCACCCCCTTAGGGCCAAAAAGGCTGGAGCTCCACAGCGCCTGCAGAGAGAGAGGTGCCCCCTCAACCTGGTGCCAAGGTGGTTAGAGCAGGGGGCTGGGAGCCAGGACTCCTGGGTTCTATCCTTGGCACTGGGAGGGGTGTGGGGTTCTAGTGGGTTAGAGCAGGGGGGGCTGGGAACTAGAACTCCTGGGTTCTATCCCTGGCTCTGGGAGGGGAGTGGGGTCTAGTGGGTTAGCGCAGGGGGGGCTGGGAGCCAGGACACCTCGGTTCTATCGCTGGCTCTGGGAGGGGTGTGGGGTCTAGTGGGTTAGAGCAAGGGGGGTTAGGAGCCAGGACACCTCGGTTCTATCCCTGGCTCTGGGAAGGGAGTGGGGTCTAGTGCAGGGGAGGGCAAAGTTTTTGGCCCAATGGCCACATCTGGGTATGGAAATTGTATGGCAGGCCATGAATGCTCACCAAATTGGGGGTTGGGGTGCAGGAGCGGGTGCAGGCCCTGGCTGGGGGTGCGGGCTCTGGGGAGGGGCCAGCAATGAGGAGTTCAGGGTGTGGGAGGGTGCTCCAAGTTGGGGCAGGGGGTTGGGGTGTGTGGGGGGGTAAGGGCTCTGGGATGGGGCTGGGTATGAGGGGTTGGGGGTGCAGGAACCAAGGGGTTGGGGCAAGGGAGGGGATCAGGGGTGCAGGCTCCAGGTAGTGCTTACCTCAAGCAGCTCCTGGAAGCAGCGGCATGTCCCCCCTATGGCTCCTTCATGGAGGCATGGCAGGCGGCTCTGTGTGCTGCGCCGTCCCTGCAGCTCCCATTGGCCTGTTCCCAGCCAATGGAAGCTGCGGGGCAGCGCTTGGGGCAGGGGCAGCGTGTAGAGCCCCCGGCTGCCCCTACGTGTAGGAGACATCGGCTGCTTCAGGGAGCCGCGTGGAGCCACAGCACACGCAGAGCAGGGCAAACCCCCAACCCCGCTCCCTGGCTGGAGCTCGAGGGATGGATTAAAACACCTGAAGGGCTGGATGCGGCCCCCAGGATGTAGTTTGCCCACCCCTGGTCTAGTGGGTCAGAGCATGGGGGGGCTGGAAGCCAGGACTCCTGGGTTCTATCCCTGGCTCTAGGAGGGGCATGGGGTCTAATGGGTTGGGGGGGCGCTGGGAGCCAGGAGTCCGGGGCTCTGTCCTGGCTCCTATCCCGTGTGGAGTCTCTGGTGGGACAAAGCTGGGGACTTGGGCAGGACGCTGTCCCCATGCTTGGCGAGGGGGGACTGGTGGGCATGGGCAGTGTGGCGCTGTCCATGGCTTGGCTCAGCGTGGAAGGTCTGGTGTGCGATCAGTGCGTGGCTCTGGGCAAAGCGCTCCCCGCATCGGGCGCACTCGTAGGGGGTCTCACTGTGCACTCGCAGGTGCTGCGCCAGCTCAGCGCTCTCCCCAAATCTGCGGCCACAGCGGGTGCATTCGTGGGGCCGCTCAGCGTGGATGCGCCGGTGCCGAGCCAGCGTGGAGCTGCGACCAAAGTGCTTGCCACAGCCGGTGCAGACGAAGGGCTTGCCGGCCCCATGCCGGGTTCCGCGGTGGGCGGCCAGAGCTGCGGCCTCGCTGAAGGCCTTGCTGCAGTCAGTGCAGACGTGGGGGCGCCGGGCATGGAGCCGCCGGTGCTGGAGGAGGTTGGCACGGAGGCTGAAGCTCCGGCCGCAGTCCATGCAACAGTAGGGGCGCTCGCCGGAGTGCACGGCCCGGTGCCGGAGCAGCACTGCGCTCTCCGCAAAGCACCGGCCACAGTCCCCGCAGGCGAAGGGGCGCTCGCCTGTGTGGGTGCGCCGGTGGCGGGCCAGCACCGAGCTCTGCCTGAAGCGCTTGCCGCACTCTGGGCAGGGAAAGGGGCGCTCCCCGGTGTGCACCCGCCGGTGAACCAGCAGGTGTGAGCGCTGAGCAAAGCCCTTTCCACAGTCCGGGCAGCCGTGGCGCTTCCCCAGGGGAGCCACCAGGGAGCCTGGGCTCCACCCCTTCAGCCCTTGGGACTCCGCCCCCTCTGCAGGGATTCCCTGCTCGGTCACAGCCTCTGAGCTCCGCCCCTTCAACCCTTGGAACTCCTCCCACTCTGCAGGGATTCCCTGTTGGGTCACAGCCTCTGAGCTCCGCCCCTTCAGCCCTTGGGACTCCTCCCCCTCTGCAGGGATTCCCTGCTGGGTCACAGCCTCTGAGCTCCGCCCCTTTAGCCCTGGGGACTCCTCCCCCTCCGCAGGGATTCCCTGTTGCCTGAGGGTCTCTGCACTGGGCTCTCCCCCTGGGGTGGGGTCCCCCCGCAGCATGCTGTGGGTGGCCAGGTGGCGGCCCAGGTTGGACCTGCGGCTAAAGCGGCGGCCGCACTGGGTGCACTGGTAGGGGCGCTCCCCGGTGTGCGTGCGCTGGTGGAGCAGGAGGCCGGGCCCGCGGCTGAACCGGCGCCCACACTGGCTGCACTGGTAGGGGCGCTCCCCAGTGTGGGTGCGCCGGTGCAGCGCCAGGTCGGGGCCACGGATGAAGCGCCGGCCGCAGTCGGGGCAGGGGAAGGGGCGCTCGCCCGTGTGGATGCGCTGGTGCAGCGCCAGGTCTGGGGCCCGCAGGAAGCGCTTGCCGCAGTCGGGGCAGGGGAAGGGGCGCTCGCCCGTGTGGATGCGCTGGTGCTGCACCAGGGAGGAGCCAGCGCTGAAGCGCTTGCCGCAGTCGGGGCAGGCAAAGGGGCGCTGCCCGGCGTGGGCCCGCTGGAACCGCAGGAACTCGGGGCTGCGGCTGTAGCTGCGCTCCGCTGGCGGGGTGGGGAGCCCTGCGGTGCCATGGAGGCGCCGGTGCTTGGCCAGATGGGCACTCTGGCTGAAGCACCGGCCGCAGTCAGCACAGGTGAAGGGGCGCTCGCCCGTGTGCACCCGCTGGTGGCGCAGCAGGTTGGAGCTGCGGCTGAACCGCCGCCCACAGCCGGAACAGCCAAACGGCTTCGCCACCGCATCACTGCAGGGCGCCCCCCGGTGGGCCAGCAGGGCCACGTCATCCCCAAAGCTCTCCCCGCACTCGGCACAGATTGTTGGTCCCACCTCGAAGCGCCTGGTGCCCTGCTGCCCCTCAGTCTGCTGTTCGCTCCAGCAAGCGTCCCCCTGCGGCTCCACTGTCTCAGCCCCCTCCTGGCTCTCCGTCCCGATCCCATCCAGGCAGGGAGCCCCCTCCTTGCTCTCACTCATGGCTCCATCTGTCTGGGGTACCCCCTCCTCGCTCTCTGGCCCGATCCCATCCAGGCGGGGAACCCCCTCCTGGCTCTCATTCATGGCTCCGTCGCCTGCTGGGACACAGAGTAAATCCAGAGATTAATCCGTCCCTGTGCTGGAGAGAATGGGAACCTCAGGGGGTGGAAAGGGGGAGCGTCAGAGCAGCCTAAGGGATTGGGACACTCGCTCTGGGAGTCGCAGTCACCAGTAACTCTTGGAATGCCGGCACTGAGAGAGATGCAAAGGGCTGCAGGTCCTGATTCACTGCGGCTCATGGGATTTAGACACCCAAGTCCAGACTGAAAGCTGTTTGGACACCTAAAAAGCCAACAGGGACCTAGTGGGTGCTTTTATCTGCTTCTCAGGTGCCCAGATCTCTTTAGACTCTGGCCCTCAGTTCTTGTTATTATACCAACCAGGAGACGGGCACATCCCAGCCCCTTCGGCAGCTCTGCGAATCCTCCTCACGTCGGCAATACCAACACCTTGGACGCAGCCGAGCAGATCTCAGAGAACAGCAGCCAATGGGGAAACCCTCATACAAGGAGGGATGCTTCCAGTGGGGGCCTGTGGGGATCTGTGCCTGGCACAATGCTGCTCAGGACCTTTACCAGGGATTCTGGAGGAAATCTCAACTCCCAGCTGGTAAAGCAAGCAGCTGGCATCCAAACCACCAGGGAGGAAGAAGGGCTCCTGATGCTAAGGGACAGCATTGGCACAAAAACAAATGGGGATAAATGGCCAGGAGTAAATGCAGGCTGGAAGGAGAAGAAGGTTTCTAACCACCAGAGGAGGGGAAGGGGGGGCTGGAGCAGCAGGACAAACATCTTACCTAGTTTCCCAATGCAGCTTGAGAACTGTCTGACCAGGACGGTTCCCTGGGGCTACAGAGCACTGAGCTGGGTAGCCGAGCACAGCCACGGGGAGGAGATTTCTGGCAGCTCTTTGCTCTAGGAAAGGGCTGAAAGAGGTGCCAAGGCTGGAAGGCGGAGAGATGAATTCAGGGTGAGAACAAGGACAGCTACCTCACAAAGCAGTCTGGCTGGCTTAGAGTTTTACACCGCTGCCAGCACCACAGCAGCTGAGTATCTTCCATACACCTGAATGGCTCCCCCAAGAGCCAGTCCCGTCCCTCTCTGGAGGTGACAGAAAGCTCCGCTGGGGTGATCCAGCCAGAACTGCAGCATGCAGCGGTGCCAGGGCCTGTGAATTCGGAGTGAGGCGCAGTTCTGCTCCAGCCCAGCTCCAGGTGGACACAAGCCCTAGGTGCACATCACTGTCTCAGAATCTCCTTCCACCGGGAACGAGGGGCAACAGGACAATCTCTCTCAAGCATCCGGGGGCCCAGAGGGGCCGATCTCCAGCCTCCTCTGGCTCTGACACTGCCCCCTGCCCTCCAGAGCCCACAAAGCTCCTGCTAAAGGAGAGGAATGGGCTTCTCACCCACAGCAGCTGTGAACTTGGGCTCCTGCATGTCTTCCCACACTGGGTCTCCGTACAGGGTCCACTCTGCTTGGCAGATGCCCCTGGCCACCTCCCTGCGTGTCCAGGCTCTGAAACAAGAAGTTTCCCACGCTCAGTCCTGGCTGCTCTCCCCCAGTCTGCTCTGGTTCGGTCACCACTCCCTCCAGCCCCCCACATCTCCTCCACCCCTGCTCCCCCACAGAGAGACGGGCACTTCTGCAGGTTTCCCACACACAGCATATTCACTGCCCCGCCCATGGGGACAGACCCCCCACAACCCTGGAAAGCCCATCCCCCAAGCCAGCTACACACAGGGGTTCACCTGGGGGATGCACAAGCTGCTGCTCGGAACCTGCCAGGCCCAGTGAGAGCAGGGGCCCATCTAGCCTGGTATCGGGGCTGCGACGCTGGACAGCGCCTGCTGCTTCAAAGGAAAGAACAAGAGCAGAGGCCAGTGAAGGAGGGGAAAACGGGGCCCAGCCGGGGCCACCACTTCCCGCAGCATCCCCACCCCAGAACTGTGCAGGGGAGGACCCCCCGGGGAAATCAAGACACATCATTGCACCGGCGGGCACACGCACTTCCTCTCTGGCTAGGCCGGGATTTCTCACACCCACACCGCTCACCCCACGCGCACACACACGCACCATTGCTCCCCAGGCAGCCCCGGCCACCCCGCGGGCAGATGGGCCCCCACGGCTTCCCGGGACCAGCCCCTCCCCGGGCACAGGGGCCCCGGCCCCGATCCCGGGCGCCGCCCCCCGCAGCTCCACCAGTTACCGGGACCCTCGGGCTGGGGCCGCGTCCCCGGCGCTCGCCCCGCGGGGCCCCGGGCGCAGCCGGCTCGGTGCGCGTTGGGCGGGGCGGGACGTGGGGCAGCGAGCGCCGCAGCCTGAGCTCCGGAGCCAGCCCCCTCTGGCGGCGCCTGCTCCTGGCCGGGCTGCGAGCGCAGGGGCCCTTGGAGCCGAGCAGCGGCGGACCGCCCCCCGCCGCCCTTGGGGGCTCCTCACCAGCACTGGGGACCCGGTGCCTTATTTCTGCTCTGGCTCGGTCTGGCTTCCGCTGCCAACCACCGGCTCTTCTGCCGTTCTCCGCTCTGGGGGATTCTGCCCTGGGCTGGGGGTTGGACACTGGGATCAAGTCTCCGCTCTGTCCGCTTCGAGACTCACTGAGCAGAGTGAGCTGTGCCCGCCTCTCCCTGCCAGGCTTGTCTCCAGGCCTCTCCAGTTATTGGTGTGGCTCTGCTCTGCACCCTCCACATCCCTGTACAATGTGGCCACCAGAGCAGGGCTGGAGGCCCCATGCTCCAGTATCCATCTCAACCCAATGACCTATACAGAGGTTCCTACTCACCACCCCCTGTAGACATCCATGCCTCCCCTTAGCCCTTGTGCCACAGTATCGCTCTGGGAGTTCATGGCGAGTTTCTTGCTTTTTGTGCCCCCTCAGGCTTTTCCAGGGCGGCTGCTGTCCAGGACTCAGTCCCTCAGTCGGTAGGGCTGGCTGGGTTTCCTTGGGCCTAGATGTGTCACATTTCACTGGGCTGAAATAAAATGCATTTTGTTTGAATTAGGCCATTTTCTCGAGCAGTCCAGAGGGCTCTGTATAACCTGTCCTCACCGAGCCAATATTTAGGTTCTCCACTCATTTTACACTGATTTCCACACCACTGGAGATCATGGTGAATTGCACCAGGACTGGCATGATCCCCCCAGAACCTCACTAGAGACCACTGTATTTTATGGAGCTTGTCCACCAAGCCCATCATAGAATATCAAGGGTGGAAGGGACCTCAGAAGGTCATCTAGTCCAGCCCCCTGCTCAAAGCAGGACCAATGCCCAGACAGATTTTTGCCCCAGATCCCTAAGTGGCCCCCTCAAGGATTAAACTCACAACCCTAGGTTTAGCAGGCCAATGTTCAAACCACTGAGTTATCCCTCCCTCTGCATGTGTGCTCAGCTGATACCCTGCAATGCTAGCTTTCCATGCTGAACTGCTCAGAAAGAGCCCAGAGCCAGCTGTGGGGAGTGCATTATTGCTAGTGTATGGGTGTGCGTTATTGCTAGTGTATGGGTGTGCATTATTGCTAGTGTACAGGTGTGCGTTATTGCTAGTGTATGGGTGTGCGTTATTGTTAATGTACAAGTGTGCGTTATTGTTAGTGTACAGGTGTGTATTATTGTTAATATATGGGTGTGCGTTATTTGTAGTGTTTTTCGGTGTCCCCAGCACGCCCAGGCCAAGGTATCACAGACATGCCCAGCCCCAGGGCTTGGGGGGGAAGGGGGAGGCAGGGGAGGCAGGAGCCATGCTGGGCACCTCACTGCCCTGAGCAAGGGTGGGGGGGCTGCTGCACGGGGATCCCACAACAGGGGCACCTGAACAGATATTGCTTTCGCACCTGGTTCAAACTCTGCCTGTGTTAGCTCTGAGCATCTCAGGACTACATCTCCCAGCATGCACCATGCCCAAGAGGAATCTCCCAGCATGCGTCACTCCCGGTAGAGACGCATCTCCCGGCATGCCCTGGCCCAAATGGGCGGTGCATTTCCTGGCACACCCCGTGTCCCAGCGTAATCTCCCAGCATGCATCATGCTCAGTCAGAGCTGCATCTCCCAGCAGGCCCTGCGCCCAAGGGAAGCTCCCACCATGCCCTGCGACAAGTCCGAGATGCACTTGGCTGTCCTGCCCATGCTGCTCAGAACTACCTCTCCCAGCATGCCCTGCTCCCAGTGTCGGGGCTGCAGCCCCTGCCAGGGGGAGAGGGCAGATGGCCCTCTTGCGGCGAGGCAGGGCACAGGGAGCTGGAAAGGTAACCTGGCCAAGCCCCAACCCCCAAACACTAGGTCGTTGTAAAGTCACATGTGGGGAGGTTTGCTGTCAAGGGTCTGGGCTGGCAGGCTGTGCCTGTTAGTGGCGCATTATCAGGCTTCCCCCCACAGCCCTGATCCGTGCCTGTGACGAGAGATGCGATCTCAGGACTCTGGGAGCTGAGGCTGGCAGTGAAACTCCACCAGAGTGGGCAGTGCGGAGGGAAGGACTCCAGCCCCACTGGATTTCACTGGAGACCTGGCCTCTGACTCCCCCAGAGCCTTGTGAGAGCCCCAGCAAACAAACATTCCCTCTATCTATAAATCCACCCCCCTACACCCTTTGTCCTATCTAACCCTGTACACCCCTCTAGCTATATATTAATATCTGTTACCTGTTAGTAAATATTCACCCTTTTAGCCCTTTTCTTTCTGTATATTTGATTCATTTATATATTAACTATTCTTTAGAAACTCTAGGATATTAACAAAAAGTATATGTGAATTCTAAGGCCCAGACACTGGTCCTTGACCGATAAGTAACCTTGATCAGTAAGTATCAGAGGGGTAGCCGTGTTAGTCTGAATCTGTAAAAAGCAACAGAGGGTCCTGTGGCACCTTTAAGACTAACAGAAGTGCTAGTCTTAAAGGTGCCACAGGACCCTCTGTTGCTTTGATCAATAAGAACGGCCATCCTTGGTCAGACCAAAGGTTCATCTAACCCAGTATCCTGTCTTCCGACAGTGGCCAATGCCAGGTGCTTCAGAGGGAATGTGGAGCACAAGATCTGGTCTAAGGTGTGAACCATCCCTGCCTATTCTGGCTAATAGCCATTGATGGATCTATCCTCTATGAATGTATCTAGTTCTTTTTTTAACCCTGTTATAGTCTTGGCCTTCACAACATCCCCTGACAAAGAGTTCCACAGACTGACTGTGCGTTGTGTGAAGAAATACTTCCTTTGCTTTGTTTTAAACCTGCTGCCTATTAATTTCATTGGCTGATCCCTAGTTCATGTGTATGAGAAGGAGTAAATAACACTTCCTTATTTCCTTTCTTCACACCAGTCATGATTTTATAGACCTCTATCATATCCTCCCCTTAGTCATCTCCTTTCCAAGCTGAAAAGTCTCAGTCTTATTAATCTCTCCTCATACGGAAGCCATTCCATACCCCTAATCATTTTTGTTGCCCTTTTCTGAACCTTTTCCAATTCCAATATATCTTTTTTGAGATGTGGTGACCACATCTGCACGCAGTATTCAAGATGTGAGCGTACCATGGATTTATACAGGGGCAATATGATATTTTCTGTCTTGTTATCGATCCCTTTCGTAATGCTTCCCAACACTCTGTTCACTTTTTTGCCTGCCGCTGCATATTGAGCGGATTCCTATTCAGGAATTCTGTGTGTTAGACCGTAGCTAACAATCTGTGGCTTTCCTGTGTCTATAAAACTCCAGCTAGTCCGAGCAACTATCCCCTTCACATAGATATCGATACTGCTTACATAAGCATATATAAGTCCATTAATGGCTATTAGCCAGGATGGGTAAGGAATGGTGTCCCTAGCCTCTGTTTGTCAGATGATGGAGATGGATGGCAGGAGAGAGATCACTTGATCATTGCCTGTTAGGTCCACTCCCTCTGGGTCACCTGACATTGGCCACTGTCGGTAGACAGGATACTGGGCTAGATGGACCTTCGGTCTGACCCGGTACGGCCGTTCTTATGTTCTTATAAACCTGGGAAGCTGATAAGGGAGGATTGTTCCAGCAGATGTTTTCTATTAGGGAATCAACAGGGAAGACTGATTATGGGGAAAGAAAGAGTCAGTGAACATTACTATCTTGAAGAATTATTAGTCCTCTTGGCTGTAAATAATCCTGCCTTCACCCATAAACCAGGTAAGATGAGCATGTACAGGTATGACATCACAATGTATGGTTCTTTTGGCAAAGAGGGTCTTTATGACACTGATGTTGGAACTGAGCTGGGGAATGAAACCAGGCATCCCTCCAGGTGCAGTGAAGGAGCCCTAGCAGCTCTAGATCTGCCGTCACAGGGTGGTAAGCTAGCTAGTGGTTCTGTGCAGTGCTGTACAGTCTCTGATGGAACCTGTGAGTAAATAATTCCAACTCCTCACTGTCATTCGACAAGTGGGAGTTGGCATTAACTCAGACACACACAGGGCCAGCTCCAGCGTTTTTGCCACCCCAAGCGGCGAAAGAAAAAAAGAAAAAAGCCGCGATTGGCGGCAGCTCTACCGCCACTGCTTCATTCTTCGGCGGCAATTCGGCGGCAGGTCCTTCCCTCTGAGAGGGACTGAGGGACCCGCTGCCGAATTGCTGCCGAAGAGCTGGACGTGCCTCCCCTTTCCATTGGCCGCCCCAAGCACCACCTGCTTGCTGCGCTGGTGCCTGGAGCTGGCCCTGGACACGCAGCACCCCATGTCTGGAAACCTGGCACCAAACCCTGCTCATAACCAGCTGGGGTGTCTGATCATAGGGGTGGGGGGGACCTCAAAGCCTGACAAAACTCCTGTTTTCATTCAGCACCAGCAATTATTGAGCTGGATCATCTGCTCCACACACACACACCAGGAGCTGGGGGGTGGTGGAGGGGCTGTGCAGCACCTGGTGTCATGGGGGGCCCGGATCTGGGTCAGTGTCTGCAACAACTAGCACAATGAGGGCGAGATCTCAGTCTCGGGGTTCAGGCAGCAGCCCCACACACACCCCAGCCCCCCATGGATAGGGCCCCCAAATAGAGCCAGATTGCGACACAGCTGAGCCAGACCCCTCTCTGGGGGCTGGGCAGAGGGCAGCCGGGCGTGGGGCCAGTAATACCCCAGGCCCTCTCACTTTTCGGGGCTGCCATGGGCAGGGCCTGCCCGGCGGCGGA